CACCCCATGGCTCCCCCAGGCCCCTGCCGTAGCGCGTGGGTCCCCGATGGGTGCCCGCCACCCCGGCCCCACTCACTGTGGGTGCATCTTGTACAAGGTGCCGTCCACCCCGACGGTGATGGCCAGCTGGTCCAGGCCCCGGTTCTCCCGCATCTTCTCCACCACGGCGGCCAGGCCGGCGGCGCAGAGCTGGGCGGCTCGCAGGGACACGGTCTGGCACACCTCCCGCACCAGCACACTGTCCTCAAAGCTGGCCTGCAGCTCCAGGTCCTCCAGGATGGCCTGTACCTTCCGCAGGGCCAGCCCATCGCTGCCCCAGACCAGGGGCACCATTAGCACCGCCGTCCCCATCACCGTCCCCATCTCCATCCCACGGGCTGGAGGTGGCATCACCCTGCATGCACCCATCGATGTAGCATGGCTCCCTCCCCCAGGGCTCTGCCTTCACAGCCCCCACCGGAGGGAACCCACCGGAGCCCAGCACTCACATCTCGATGGTGGAGAGGAACTTGGTCTGGAAGATGTCCCTGGTCTGGAGCTTGGGGCAGGGTTTGCCACGGAACAGGAGCTGTTTCTCCACCAGCGCCAGGAGGACGTGGCGCACGATCTCACCCAGGTACATGCCGCTGATGAGCTTCTCGAACCTGCCCCGGGCACAGCCCTGGCAGCCTTAGCCGGGCACAGCAGCCCCCACCCGGCCCCCTCCCCGCCCAGGGACCCTCGCCCACCTCTGTTTGCCAGCGTTAATTGTTTTCTCGTCCACCAGCCGGTCGTAGTTGGTGAAGATGTCGTCCAGGCAGCCGTTGTCCCCAAAGGCCCCCCACTCCATGTTGATGCACATGCGGCCCTGCTCCCCCTCCACGGTGCCCACGTTGCGCATCTCCTCCATGTAGCAGGCATTGGTCCCTGTCCCTGCGGGCCACGTGCTGGTGTCACCCCCGCCACAGCCCCGGCAGAGCTGCCTGGCACCCCGTGGCCAGGCCGTGCGGGCTGGTGGCGAGGGGATGGGCGACCCCCCCGGGTGCAGAGGTGCTCCTCACCCACGATGAGGCCAATTTCACATTTGGGGTCGTCGTAGCCACAGGACATCATGGTTCCCACCGTGTCGTTGACCACGGCCACCACCTTCAGCCCTAAGTGCTGCCAAACCGGAGACGGGGACACGTGCAGCTTAGTGGCACCCAGCTGGCTCCTGGGGCTGGCACCGCCTGGGTGCAGGGTGGCACCCTGGGGACAGGGGACAGGTCCCCAGCTCTTCCCTACCTGTTTGCGCTGGGCAGCCTCCCGCAGCAGCTGGACCACGTCCTGCCCCACGCAGCCCGAGGCGCTGAAGCCTTTGGTCCAGCACAGCAGCACTGCCTGCAAGAGAGGCAGGAGCAGGGGCCGGGCGGCCGCCTCGTACCCGGGGGCCCTCCCCATCTCCCCGGGGCTGGAGCTGCCCCCTCACCTTATCCAGGCCCAGCTGCTGGCAGGGGAAGGAGAAGGTGAAGCCGAGCGGCAGGACCTGCTCCATCAGGGCCTGCTTCAGCTGGAAGTCCATGATGCACTCCATGATGTGGTCGAAGAGCTGCGGAGAGGAGGCATGGCTCAGAGGCCAAGCTGGGGCGAGGCCGTGGGGGTCTCCCATGGGCCCGCAGGCAGTGAAGGGGGAGGCAATTACCACCCCTTGCCCCGTCCTGTGGCCCTGGGCCCCCAGCCTCACCGCCTCGCCGGTGCCCTGCATGATGGTGGTGGGGATGACGTAGATCTCGCTGGCCATGCGGATGCCGTCCTGCGCCACGCGTACCACCAGCACCCGGAAATTGGTCCCCCCCAGGTCCAACGCCAGGAATTCACCTCGCTCTGCGGGGAGCCAGCACAGGGCATCAGCGGGGCCACGGCCTCCCCGGCACCCCCTTCCCCAGGCCCCCGGCCCTCACCGGTGCCGTCGGGCGTGCTGCGGACGTAGGTGGGCAGCATGCGGATGGAGGCGTTGGCGTTGCTCTCCCGGCCCAGCCCCAGCTCCATCTCCTGCCTCATCAGTGCCTGGACGCGCTCTAGGTCGGTGCGGCTGAGCCGCAGTGGGGCCAGCAGCCGGTCCACCTCGCGGCGATGGGCCGCCAGGCGCAAAGCCACCGCTGTCACCATGGCCGCCCCCCGCCCAGTCCCATCCACCGAGGGCAGGAGGGTGACCATGCACTCGGGGGCCAGCAGCCCCGTCACGCTCTGCAGGATCTCCCTGAACCTGCCGGAGGAAGAAGAAGATGGCGAGGGCAGGGCGTGAGGCATCCCGCTGGGGTGGGACCCCGCCAGGAGCCCCGTGTCCCTCCTCACCTGCTGTAGCCCCGGTACAATTCGCCGTCCACCCCCACGTTGACCACCAACCGCTCCAGTTCCCGGCTCTGGCACATGTGGCTGAGGATGGCGGCCAGCCCGGCAGCGCAGAGCGCGGCGGCGCGGCTCACCACCACCCGGCAGATCTGCTGCACCCGGCAGCAATCCCGCTCGCTCGGCCGCAGCCCCAGAACCTCCAGAGCTCTCCTCGCCTTGGTCATGCCTTCCTCACTGCTGCAAGGGCGAGCACAGCGCTGGGTTACGGGGCCACCGGCTCGCGGCCAGGGGCACCCACCCATCACCCCCCTATCCTCCCACCCGCAGCACCTCCTGGTCCCCTGACACTCACTCGATGATCTCCAGGACCTGCTGGGTCTTGAGCACATCCTTGGTCCTCAGGACGGCGACATTGCTGCCAGTGAAGACCACTTTTTCTGCAGCAAGGGTGATCAGCGTGTGCCGGACGATCTCCCCCAGGTACAGGCTGCCCACCAGCTTCTCAAACCTGCGTGCAGCCCAAGCGGGGGTCGGTCATCGTCCCCTGGCACCCCTTGGCCCTTTGAGAGCACCCAGGAGCGTCGCAGGGGGCCACGTGCTCCCGTTGGGGGGCCCCGGCGTGCTCAGGGATGGCCGGGGAGCCCCAGGGACCCTGCCCTCGCTGAGGGGGTGGGAGCACCTCTTCTCCCCGGGGTTGGAGGATTCCTGGTCCACGCGCTGGTCGTAGGGGGTCAGGATGTCGCTCAGGGTGCCATCGTCGCCGAAGCAGCCCCACTCGGTGTTGACACACATCCGCCCACTGGTCTCCTCCGCCATCTCCACCTGCTGCGCTTCGGCCATGAAGCAGCTGTTGGTGCCCGTGTCTGCGGGGAGCAACGGGGCTGAGCACCGGCACCGCACCCCTGCCTCAGCCCCCACCACCCCGGCACGCTGGGTGCCTGCTCCTCACCCACAACCAAGGCGACCTCACAGGGTTCCCCCCCCATGCCGCAGGTCATCATGGTGCCCACGGTGTCATTCATCAGGGCAACGACGTCCACGTGGCAGAGCTGGCCAAAGCGGGGGCATCGTCAGCCCCTCCGCGGGGGCAGCCACCCACCAGGCCCCCCCACCCCACGGCCCCCCACCTCCTGCTTGTTGATGGCCGACTGCAGCAACTGCACGACGTCCTTCCCCTCCACGTCGCTGCAGCTGAAGCCCTTGGACCAGGAGATGAGTTCGGCCTGTGGAGAGCACGTGGCCGAGCCGTTGGCCTCCGCCACCGGGCCGGCTCCGCTCCCCGCCGATGATGTGCTGGGGGGGAAGCCGCCGCGGCCGCGGGGCAGGGTTGTCCCGCTCACGTTGTCCCGCTCACCTTGTCCAGCCGTGTCTGCCTGCAGCTGAAGGGGAAGACGAAGCCCAAGGGGAGGCGATGCTGGGGGCTGCCGATGCCGGCCAGGAACTGGCACACGCATTGCGCAATGAAGTCAAAGAGCTGCAAAGGCACGGCCGGGGTGAGCGGCCGCTCCCCCTTACCCAGCGCCCCGGCTGCGGGAGGCAGCCCACAGCCCCAACGCCAGCCTGGAGCCCTGCCCAGCCTCCGTGGTGCTGGGCAGCCCAGCACCAGCCACCCTCTGCCACGGCCTCCTCGTACCACTTCCCCCTTGCCCCGTGTGATGTCCCCTGGCACGTTGAAGATCCTGGACATCATCTGGGGGCTCTGGTTCCCGTCGCCCAGGAGGGTCACCCACAGGGTGCGGACGTGGCTCTGGCACAGCTCCACCACCAGCAAGTCGCCCCTTTCTACAGGGGAGCAGAAGCGGTGTCAGACGGAGACCTGCCCTGTGGCAGATCCCCCAAATCTGCTCCTCACCCTGTCCCGGGGACGCTCACCCACGGGGGAGGCTCCCGAGAGCCTGAGACCACCGCAGGGGCCAAGGGAGCCGGCTCCTGGCCTCTACCCCCGCACCGGGAACTGGCAGAGGCAGCGCAAGGGCAGCTCATGGACCCCGTAACTGGCCGGAGACCGGTGCACCCCTCCCCGGCACCTCCAGGGCCACGTCCAGCGAGGCGTGCGGGGCCGCAGGTAGCAGAACAGCCCGTCCCCAGGCCGGGCCGTCTTACCGGTGCCGTCAGGCGTGGAGCAGATGTAGGTGGGCAGCATCCGCATGTTGGCCTGCGCGTGCGTCTGGCGGCTCAGCCCCTTGCGCATGGCCTGCATCATGCGGCCCTTCACTGCCTGCAGCGTCTCCAGCGGGATGGTGAGCTCCAGCAGGGCTCGTTGTACCTGGGGGCGGCTCGTTAGGCCGGGCCTAAAGGGCAGGGGATGCCTCTCGCTGGGTGCGGGACAGGGACAGGCCTTACCGGCGTGCAGGCGGGACCATCGCTGCGGTGGCCCAGCTGATGGCTCGCTGGGGACCTGCGCGGAGGGAGGTGGCGTGTCACCCGCCGAGCCCCGGCCCGCAGGACAGGGCTCACGCTGCCCGCGCCCAAGCACGCGAGCGGGGCTGGGGGGTTCCCGTCTCCGGCTCTGCCTCCCACCTCCCCTCCGCGTCCCCGTCAGCCGTGGTTTCGACAGCATCGTCACTTTGCAGTGTCCTTCCACTGCAATCGCGACCCGGCAGCCGGGGGTAGAGGGGACAGCCGTGCCCCACGACGGCGATGGCGCACAGGGCGTCCTCGGGGGCTGCGGGAGAAGGGGGCTGCCCCCACCTCGCCCCCCCCGCCTCTCCCCTCCACCTGCAAGAGGCCGGAGGGTGGTCTCTCCCCTGCCCGGGGAGGTGCAGCACCGGGGGGGGGGAGGCTC